TTACTAATGGAAATCAAGGGGAATACAAATTAGGGTTACAAATCTTACCCAAAACCCTCTTACAAGACCACTTGATCTCTCCAATAGACTCCAACAATAGAAGCCCTAGAAATCCCCTTTCAGCAGCTCAAAATCACCAAAGCTTAACCCTAGAAACGAGTTTAGGGTTTATATACAACTCACAAACGTCTGCGATCGACCGCGGTGGTCGACCGCCACCAAAACTGACGCCCAGTAAGCCTCGTGCACGAACGCGGTCGACCGCCCCGGTCGACCGCCACCCAGTCTGCCTGAATCTGTCAGCCTGCTGCCAATTCTACAATAACAACTCAGATTGGATCTGCATTTGCCAAACTAAGACACAAAGGGATTGACTCCATAACCAGTTGAGTATGGATTGACTCGATAACCAGTTGCTTAAGTAGGTCAGAAAAACATGTGACCTTGTTCATCACAAACAAACACTACAACAATTCAAGCGAACAAACCTTCACGGATCAAATTGCTGGACGCGTCTACAAGTTTTAAAGTTTAAAGCTCGTCCGAAAGCTCGCAAAATATATCACTAAAAGAAATTTAGCAGAAATAAATGGCCTAGCTTATGAAATGATTGCCTGGCAAATGAAGGGTACTTGTCTAAGTCGTCTTCTCATGTATAACTATCTAATAGTGCTTTCTAAAGATTGATATGCTCATGTTTCCAACAAAATAATTTTGCATGTCCTTCGTTTCTATGTTATTTTATTTGTTTTGGGAAAGAGAAGTGCATCATAAATCGTAAAGCAATTTTTGAAATTTCAAGGGATATAGCCAATGAAGAAAATGAACGAACATTTTTTCTATCCCTAACCCTATTAATCTTCTTCCAAATCTTTCATCTGGTGTTTTTACGAGGTCATCTTCCATCAGGCCTAACCTTACTAAACCTTTCTACAATAACTAATTCCACAACCACGGTTTAATGAAATATTTCTTCACAAACTAATTCCTGTTTAAAATGAAAATTAATGCATCAAACATATGAGAAATAGAGACCCTCTTGTGGCAAAATCAACTCAAAAAGAAGTTTTCCAACGTAAGAGGTAGACTAATAAAGATATTACCTAACCTCATAGACACTTCTACCTTCTGAACAGAGAAACTGACCACTTCAATGCATTCTTCCCAAAATTTTAGACAACAAATGTGAAGTTTCACTCTATAAATACCCAGGATAGCATCCATTTATATCATATCAACCAAAGCTTAATTTCTCATTCCTGAAATGGCTTATCATATCCTTTTTCTTACTCTCCTCGCCCTCACCTCCTCTCTTGCAACGGCTTCTGATCCTAGTCAACTGCAGGACTTCTGCGTTGCCGATGATATGTCTCATGGTACTTCAACTTTTTAATTTGTTTTGCATTATAAATAATATGCCTCTAATTTTTTTTATGTTTACATTGCAGTCTTTGTGAATGGGTTAGTCTGCAAGGACCCGAAACTGGCAGTGGCTGACGATTTCTTCTTCTCCGGCCTTAACATGCCTGGCAACACAAGCAACCGTCTGGGATCGAAAGTAACGCTGGTTAGTGCAGCTAACTTACCAGGCCTCAATACTCTCGGCATCTCCTTGGCACGACTTGATTTTGCACCCTATGGGCTCAACCCACCACACACTCATCCACGTGCGACCGAGATCCTAACAGTGTTGGAAGGAACGCTCTATGTCGGATTTGTGACATCAAACCCCGATAACAAACTCTTCACTAAAGTCCTCAACAAGGGTGATGTGTTTGTGTTCCCTCAAGGACTCATTCACTTTCAGTTTAACACCGGTTACACAAATGCTATCGCGATTGCAGGACTTGGTAGCCAGAACCCAGGTGTGATCACGATAGCTAATGCAGTATTCGGAGCAAAGCCTCCTATTTCCGATGATGTTCTAGCCAAGGCATTCCAGATTGACAAGAAGTTAGTGGACTGGCTCCAAGCTCAGTTTTGGATGGACAATAACTAGGACGGTTGGCAAATGCTGATGATCTCTATATATTTCCCGTAGTGTTGGGTTTCAATAAGCAGCATGTTTGCATGTCGTTGGTAAAAATATCTGTTTTGTACTTTGCTTACTCTATAATATAAAAGTTTACTTTGTCTTGAGTTACAATAAGGCTCCAATCTAGGCAACTTAAAGCAGAAGGACAAAGAAAATGTATTCCCTTGATAACCACTGAAGACTGCCTCAAAACACAATTGACTGCATTCAGCAGTTAAAGGACTACAGTTCGATTATTATCCGTTCAGAGCAAAATGGCGACGCATAAAGAAAAATATCACTTTAGACAGTTCTTTAAGAGAAAGGGCACTATCAAAGTATATCTTCTGTATATTTTTTTGTCTAAACACCAAAAGAACCAGTGGTTTGTGAGACGATGACAACAATCAAGCTGTACTTGACTAGAACATTGAGAAAAGAACCTAAGCTATAAGGTTCACAAGAGTACTATCTCAAGATTTTGTTAGTCAAAATGAAAAACAAATTAAACCAAAAGCAAAAATATAAGCGGAGCTTCTTTTATAGGGGGGAAATTGTCATCCGATAGAAAATAATGGGTGGTTAAGGTCAATACTATCCACTCATGTTGCCTAGGGATCCTTGCATGATATGAAGAGTCTTTTTATATATATATAAATGAGTGGATAGAAACTTTGGTGGACAAAGGTTTGGTGTCCACTTAAGTTGACATAAGATCAAGTCTCTCTCTCTCTCTCTCTTCTCTTTCTCTCATCTCTCGTCATCTCTCCTCTCTCTATAATTATATATATATATATATATATATATATATATATATATATATATATATATATATATATATAGCAAAGCTCCTATAAACTTGAGTGGATAGGAACCCTTTGTCAAATTTTTTTTATCCATTGATATGTTGTATTGAGATTTGTGCTAACATGTGATGCAAATCAAGAACAACCCAACTTGGACTCTATCCCTTTCATCCACTTTGTCGAGAATAAATAGATGAATGACAGGAGTCACCCAAATGAACAAATAACCAGGAAGGTTGGAAAATGTTGGTGCTCTCAATGTGTTTTCCTGTGTTGGATTTAAATAAGCAAGTAATGTGTGTTTATGTTTGCATGTTGTTGGTAATGATATCGGTTTACTCTATGATATAAAACGTGTACTTTGTGTTAAGATGCAATAAGGCTCTAATCTAGGTATCTTTCAATAGACGGAAAAGGAGAATGTATTCTCTTGATAATGATAATAAAACATTAGCATATGATGAATGCATGCATACACAACGAGCAAAGCAAACAAGTCCATTCACTTTCAGATATAAAATTTCATGTTCATATATGACAGGTATTACTGTATTAGTTTATTAATCCTCATCTGTTAGAGAAGGACACTACTAAACATGGGAGACTTTTTTGCTTTCAATTCATGAAGTTATCATGACAAAAATGATCAAACTGTTAAAGGTTACTTTCAATAGTTTAGAAACTGCTCTTACCATTCACAAAAGTGATTGCTCCAATTATGCTTACAGTATCAGATTGAAAATATTCATGCTGATATTTAGTCTGAAGAATGAGCATCCGTGTACCAATATACATTTACAAATAGATAGTTTAAGGTGATGAATCAAAAATTAAATTCTTTATTCAGCGGCCATTTCATGAATAATTCCACGAGTACTTGTATAATATCAAGCAAATATAATTGAAAAAAAGAATTACAGATTAAAGTAACTAATAAGCATGCAAACAATTCAATTTGTAAAATGATAGTAAGGGAGACCACCAATGAGGATTCAAAATAACAAATTTCTGATGGCATGACAGTTTTCTTGCCAACTGAAACATGTTTTCCCATGTATAATAATTGCTATAGTTTTTTTAGACCTCATGATATTGACAGATAAGTAAATTTATTCCATTTATTCATGTGACTAAATGTATTATATTGTGTATAGTCAATTGTAGATATATTTCCTATATTCTGAGTTTTGCAATTTATTATCCCTAATATTTTATTTTCATTTAGATTTCTTGATATCCAAACGAAGTTATAACTCTCTTATCACTATAGTACACCTACAAGACGGTCTTCTAAAATAGAAATGTCACAGGTGCTCTTAGCAACACATTCATGTCACATGACGTGTCACTACTGATGCAGAAAAATATCCATATCAGCTGATATATTCGTATATATATCCGTTAGGATAAGAATATGATTACTAAATATCTACATCAATAGGATACGATTAAGGGTACGGATATGTAGTAAAATATATGTATGTGTATCCAAAATTATCTGAGTATGTATTGGCCACACAGTTACAAATGTTTTAATCATAGATTAATGGGTTTGGTGTTAATTTTGATGATCAAGAGATCAAATCTTATCTTTTAAGATATAACAAACATATTAATGAACACTTGTTATATTATATGAACTATATTTTTCAATATTATCTGCTTTTCTCATGTCGTTTTCTATTCGCATGTATATACACATATACATCCGCATATATACCAATATTCGCATCTGATTTTCGCGTATATGGTTATGGTAAGTATCATATCCGAGCCGTATCCGAACAGTTTGCACCCCTACATGTTACATATCCACATGACATTTATCTGGATTGATCCTATTAAGCACTAAGCACCTATAAGCCGACCTATCTGAATGTATCCTATTAAGCATTAGCCATCACTCATCGGTGTGTTATTGACAAACACACATATTTTCTATGGAACTCTTGGGACGAGCCAGTCCAAGAGCAGCCAAGGAGGTCGCTCTTAAATGGTGCTTTTACACCATTGACTTAGCTTGTCCTCAAAGAAAAAAGATTGTTTATTAAAGACGTCAGCAAGTCAATTTTATTAATCCGACATTCAAAGAGATACCATGTTCATGCACTATGAATTAATTGATGCATTGTTCAAAAGTTCCTAGTGGTTACTAATTCCTATTAAAATGTCACATTCACCTCTTCAACAACTCCCTTACTAATCCTTTCTTCACCAACAAATTCCTGTTTAAAAAGAGAATAATGCATCAGACATGTGTAATAAAGAGACTTTAAAAAATAAGAGGTAAAGTAGTACTTACCTAATCCCATGGATACTTCAAACTTCTGAACATGAGGAAATGACCGCTTCAGAGCCTTGTTCCAGAAATTTAAACAACATTCGGCAACTTTCAGTCTTACCATCAAATTGGAATTGAAAGAAGAGGAATTGGCTCCTTATTTGTTGATGATGACTAGTAAGGCCCGTGAAAAACAGATGAGGTTATTTTGAGATTTGTTTGCAAGCAGCTTGAAACCTATAAGAAAGGAAAATTTAGTTGTCAGATAATGACGTGGTATGCATTTAATCAATTTGAAAGAGCTCTAAATCAATTTGAAAGAGCTTGAAACGTATAGCTCTGTTTTGTGTCTAAGCGCCCAAAGAACCAGTTGTTATTGTTCATTGACAACAATCAAACTGAAGTTGACTACAACAATAAGAAAAGATCCTGGGTACAAGGTCCAATTGAGTTACAATTTCAAGATTTTACCTGTCAAAATGAAAAATAAAATAAAACAAAAGCACAAGGACACAGCGGATTTGTTTTGTGAAAAAAAAAAATCTGTCATCTTAATGGTGATAATAAATAAAGGGCGGTTAAGGTCAATACCCAACAAAAAAAAAGATTGGTTAAGGTCAAGAAAAAGATGTATGTTTTTGGGAAAACAATAAATAGATACATAAGAAAGCAGGAAACAAGATGTCAAGATTTGCCCTGTCAAAGATAGGGTTAAAGTAAGGAAATATACACCGAAAACATATTTCACAAAACGTGGGCAGATGGAACAATAGAAAACCACAACGAACTGCGAGTCCAAACAACTCGGATTGGATCTGCATTTGCCAAACTAAGACACAAAGGGATCGACTCCATAACCAGTTGAGTATGGATTGACTCAATAACCAGTTGCTTAAGTAGGTCAGAAAAACATGTGACCTTATTCATCACAAACAAATACTTCAACAATTCAAGCGAACAAACCTTCACGGATCAAATTGCTGGACGCGTCTACAAGCTTTAAAGTTTAAAGCTCGTCCGAACGCTCGCAAAATATATCACTAAAAGAAATTTAGCAGAAATAAATGGCCTGGCTTATGAAATGATTGCCTGGCAAATGAAGGGTACTTGTCTAAGTCTGCTTCTCATATATAACCATCTAATACTGCTTTTCAAAGATTGATATGCACATGTTCCCAACAAAATAATTATGCATGTCCTTCGTTTCTATGTTATTTTATTTGTTTTGGGAAAGAGAAGTGCATCACAAATCGTAAAGCAATTTTTGAAATTTCGAGGGACATGGCCAATGAAGAAAATGAATGGAACCTTTTTTCCCTGTCCCTAACCCTATTAATCTTCTTCCAAATCTTTCATCTGGTGTTCTTACGAGCTCTTCTTCCATCAGGCCTTACCTTACTAAACCTTTCTACAATAACTAATTCCACAACAACTGTTTAATGAAATATTTCTTCACAAACTAATTCCTGTTTAAAATGAAAATTAATGCATCAAACATATGAGAAAAAGAGACTTTCTCTTGTGGCAAAATCAACTCAAAAAGAAGTTTTCCAACATATAAGAGGTAGACTAATAAAGATATTACCTAACCTCATAGACACTTCTACCTTCTGAACAGAGAAACTGACCACTTCAATGCATCCTTCCCAAAATTTTAGACAACAAATGTGAAGTTTCACTCTATAAATACCCTGGCTAGTATCCATTTATATCATATCAACCAAAGCTTAATTTCTCATTCCTGAAATGGCTTATCATATCCTTTTTCTTACTCTCCTCGCCCTCACCTCCTCTCGTGCAACGGCTTCTGATCCTAGTCAACTGCAGGACTTCTGCGTTGCCGATAATATGTCTCATGGTACTTCAACTTTTTAATTTGTTTTGCATTATAAATAGTATGCCTCTAATTTTTGTTATGTTTACATTGCAGTGTTTGTGAATGGGTTAGTCTGCAAGGACCCGAAACTGGCAGTGGCTGACGATTTCTTCTTCCCCGGCCTTAACATGCCTGGCAACACAAGCAACCGTCTGGGATCGAAAGTAACGCTGGTTAGTGCAGCTAACTTACCAGGCCTCAATACTCTCGGCATCTCCTTGGCACGACTTGACTTTGCACCCTATGGGCTCAACCCACCACACACTCATCCACGTGCGACCGAGATCCTAACAGTGCTAGAGGGAACGCTCTATGTCGGATTTGTGACATCAAACCCCGATAACAAACTCTTCACTAAAGTCCTCAACAAGGGTGATGTGTTTGTGTTCCCTCAAGGACTCATTCACTTTCAGTTTAACACCGGTTACACAAATGCTATCGCGATTGCAGGACTTGGTAGCCAGAACCCAGGTGTGATCACGATAGCTAATGCAGTATTCGGAGCAAAGCCTCCTATTTCCGATGATGTTCTAGCCAAGGCATTCCAGATTGACAAGAAGTTAGTGGACTGGCTCCAAGCTCAGTTTTGGATGGACAATAACTAGGACGGTTGGCAAATGCTGATGATCTCTATATATTTCCCGTAGTGTTGGGTTTCAATAAGCAGCATGTTTGCATGTCGTTGGTAAAAATATCTGTTTTGTACTTTGCTTACTCTATAATATAAAAGTTTACTTTGTCTTGAGTTACAATAAGGCTCCAATCTAGGCAACTTAAAGCAGAAGGACAAAGAAAATGTATTCCCTTGATAACCACTGAAGACTGCCTCAAAACACAATTGACTGCATTCAGCAGTTAAAGGACTACAGTTCGATTATTATCCGTTCAGAGCAAAATGGCGACGCATAAAGAAAAATATCACTTTAGACAGTTCTTTAAGAGAAAGGGCACTATCAAAGTATATCATCTGTATATTTTTTTGTCTAAACACCAAAAGAACCAGTGGTTTGTGAGACGATGACAACAATCAAGCTGTACTTGACTAGAACATTGAAAAATGTTTATAAACATGAAAATGAACATGTTATAAAAAGAATTTTTTAAATTGCATTTCTTATTTGTTAAAACTCATCACTTTGCAAAATAGTCTAAAAACACGAAGTCTCAACAACACATGATTTTGACAAAATATTTTCAAACAAGTTTAAAACTTCTCTTAAGTGGATTAATAGACTTTATAAATTTCTATCAACATATATATAGACTTTATATATATACACACACACTAGTGTGCATCCCGTGCAAAGCACGGCCTTTATTTTTTTATTTCCACTACAGTAATTCTATATTCAGTTTTGTAAGTGCTACAGTAACATTTTAAAATGATACAGTACCTCGTATGCGCTACAGCAATAATGCTACAGTAATGTTTTTAAACGTTACAGTCCCTCATGTGCTACAATAAAATGCTACAGTATTTATTGTAACATGAATAGCTTATCTTGGATCCTCCTGTTAGTAATACAGTAACAATGCTACAGTACTTTACTGTAACGTGAATAGTGAATCTTGAATCCTCCCATTATTATTATATATATATACATATGTGTGTGTAGAGAGAGAGAGCGCGCAAAGCTCCTATAAACTTAAGTGGATAGGGACTCTTTGTCCACCAAATTTTTTATCCATTGATTTTGTATTGAGATTTGTGCTAACATGTGATACAAATCAAGAACAACCCAACTTGGACTCTATCCCTTTCATCCACTTCGTCGAGAATAAATAGATGAATGACAGGAGTCACCCCAATGAACAAATAACCAGGACTGTTGGAAAATGTTGATTCTCTGTATGTGTTTTCCTGTGTTGGGTTAAAATAAGCAAGTAATGTGTGTTTCTGGTTGCATGTTGTTGGTAATGATATCAGCGTGTAGTTCGTGTTAAGATACAATGAGGCTCTAATCTAGGCATCTTTCAATAGATGGAAAAGGAGAATGTATTCTCTTGATAACGATAATAAAACATTAGCATATGATGAATGCATGCATACACAACGAGCAAAGCAAACAAGTCCATTCACTTTCAGATATAAAATTTCATGTTCATAAATGACAGGTATTACTGTATTAGTTTATTAATCCTCATCTGTTAGAGAAGGACACTACTAAACATGGGAGACTTTTTTGCTTTCAATTCATGAAGTTATCATGACAAAAATGATCAAACTGTTAAAGGTTACTTTCAATAGTTTAGAAACTGCTCTTACCATTCACAAAAGTGATTGCTCCAATTATGCTTACAGTATCAGATTGAAAATATTCATGCTGATATTTAGTCTGAAGAATGAGCATCCGTGTACCAATATACATTTACAAATAGATAGTTTAAGGTGATGAATCAAAAATTAAATTCTTTATTCAGCGGCCATTTCATGAATAATTCCACGAGTACTTGTATAATATCAAGCAAATATAATTGAAAAAAAGAATTACAGATTAAAGTAACTAATAAGCATGCAAACAATTCAATTTGTAAAATGATAGTAAGGGAGACCACCAATGAGGATTCAAAATAACAAATTTCTGATGGCATGACAGTTTTCTTGCCAACTGAAACATGTTTTCCCATGTATAATAATTGCTATAGTTTTTTTAGACCTCATGATATTGACAGATAAGTAAATTTATTCCATTTATTCATGTGACTAAATGTATTATATTGTGTATAGTCAATTGTAGATATATTTCCTATATTCTGAGTTTTGCAATTTAATATCCCTAATATTTTATTTTCATTTAGATTTCTTGATATCCAAACCAAGTTATAACTCTCTTATCACTATAGTACACCTACAAGACGGTCTTCTAAAATAGAAATGTCACAGGTGCTCTTAGCAACACATTCATGTCACATGACGTGTCACTACTGATGCAGAAAAATATCCATATCAGCTGATATATTCGTATATATATCCGTTAGGATAAGAATATGATTACTAAATATCTACATCAATAGGATACGATTAAGGGTACGGATATGTAGTAAAATATATGTATGTGTATCCAAAATTATCTGAGTATGTATTGGCCACACAGTTACAAATGTTTTAATCATAGATTAATGGGTTTGGTGTTAATTTTGATGATCAAGAGATCAAATCTTATCTTTTAAGATATAACAAACATATTAATGAACACTTGTTATATTATATGAACTATATTTTTCAATATTATCTGCTTTTCTCATGTCGTTTTCTATTCGCATGTATATACACATATACATCCGCATATATACCAATATTCGCATCTGATTTTCGCGTATATGGTTATGGTAAGTATCATATCTGAGCCGTATCCGAACAGTTTGCACCCCTACATGTTACATATCCACATGACATTTATTTGGATTGATCCTATTAAGCACTAAGCACCTATAAGCCGACCTATCTGAATTTATCCTATTAAGCATTAGCCATCACTCATCGGTGTGTTATTGACAAACACACATATTTGCTATGGAACTCTTGGGACGAGCCAGTCCAAGAGCAGCCAAGGAGGTCGCTCTTAAATGGTGCTTTTACACCATTGACTTAGCTTGTCCTCAAAGAAAAAAGATTGTTTATTAAAGACGTCAGCAAGTCAATTTTATTAATCCGACATTCAAAGAGATACCATGTTCATGCACTATGAATTAATTGATGCATTGTTCAAAAGTTCCTAGTGGTTACTAATTCCTATTAAAATGTCACATTCACCTCTTCAACAACTCCCTTACTAATCCTTTCTTCACCAACAAATTCCTGTTTAAAAAGAGAATAATGCATCAGACATGTGTAATAAAGAGACTTTAAAAAATAAGAGGTAAAGTAGTACTTACCTAATCCCATGGATACTTCAAACTTCTGAACATGAGGAAATGACCGCTTCAGAGCCTTGTTCCAGAAATTTAAACAACATTCGGCAACTTTCAGTCTTACCATCAAATTGGAATTGAAAGAAGAGGAATTGGCTCCTTATTTGTTGATGATGACTAGTAAGGCCCGTGAAAAACAGATGAGGTTATTTTGAGATTTGTTTGCAAGCAGCTTGAAACCTATAAGAAAGGAAAATTTAGTTGTCAGATAATGACGTGGTATGCATTTAATCAATTTGAAAGAGCTCTAAATCAATTTGAAAGAGCTTGAAACGTATAGCTCTGTTTTGTGTCTAAGCGCCCAAAGAACCAGTTGTTATTGTTCATTGACAACAATCAAACTGAAGTTGACTACAACAATAAGAAAAGATCCTGGGTACAAGGTCCAATTGAGTTACAATTTCAAGATTTTACCTGTCAAAATGAAAAATAAAATAAAACAAAAGCACAAGGACACAGCGGATTTGTTTTGTGAAAAAAAATCTGTCATATTAATGGTGATAATAAATAAAGGGCGGTTAAGGTCAATACCCAACAAAAAAAAAGATTGGTTAAGGTCAAGAAAAAGATGTATGTTTTTGGGAAAACAACAAATAGATACATAAGAAAGCAGGAAACGAGATGTCATGATTTGCCCTGTCAAAGGTAGGGTTAAAGTAAGGAAATATACACTGAAAACATATTTCATCAAACGTGGGCAGATGGAACAATAGAAAACCACAACGAACTGAGAGTCCATAACAACTCGGATTGGATCCAAACGTGGGCAGATGGAACAATAGAAAACCACAACGAACTGAGAGTCCATAACAACTCGGATTGGATCAGCATTTGCCAAACTAAGACACAAAGGGATTGACTCCATAACCAGTTGAGTAAGGATTGACTCGATAACCAGTTGCTTAAGTTGGTCAGAAAAACATGTGATCTTGTTCATCACAAACAAATACTTCAACCATTCATGCGAACAAACCTTCACGGATCAAATTGCTGGACGCGTCTACAAGTTTTAAAGTTTAAAGCTCGTAACGAATGCTCGCAAAATATATCACTAAAAGAAATTTAGCAGAAATAAATGGCCTAGCTTATTAAACGATTGTCTGGCAAATGAAGGGTACTTGTCTAAGTCTGCTTCTCATGTGTAACCATCTAATTTTGCTTTTCAAAGATTGATATGCACATGTTTCCAACAAAATAATTATGCATGTCCTTCGTTTCTATGTTATTTTATTTATTTTGGGAAAGATAAGTGCATCATAAATCGTAAAGCAATTTTTGAAATTTCGAGGGAAATAGCCAATATAGAAAATGAATGAACTTTTTTTTTTGTTTTTTACGTCACTAACCCTATTAATCTTCTTCCAAATCTTTCATCTGGTGTCCGTACGAGCTCTTCTTCCATCAGACCCTACCTTACTAAACCTTTCTACAATAAGTAATTCCACAACCACTGTTTAATGAAATATTTCTTCACAAAGTAATTCGTGTTTAAAATGAAAATTAATGCATTAAACATATGTAAAAACGAGACTCTCTTATGGAAAAATCAACTCAAAAAGAAGTTTTCCAACATAAGAGGTAGACTAATAAAAATATTACCTAACCTCATAGACACTTTCTACCTTCTGAACAGATAAACAGACCACTTCAATGCATCCTTACCAAAATTTTAGATAGCAAATGTGAAGTTTCACTCTATAAATACCCAGGATAGCATCCATTTATATCATATCGACCAAAGCTTAATTTCTCATTCTTGAAATGGCTTATCATATCCTTTTTCTTACTCTCCTCGCCCTCACCTCCTCTCTTGCAACAGCTTCTGATCCTAGTCAATTGCAGGACTTCTGCGTTGCCGATAATATGTCTCATGGTACTTCAACTTTTTAATTTGTTTTGTATTATAAGTAGTATGCCTGCCTCTAATTTTTGTTATGTTTATATTGCAGTGTTTGTGAATGGGTTAGTCTGCAAGGACCCAAAACTGGCACTGGCTGACGATTTCTTCTTCTCCGGCCTTAACATGCCTGGCAACACAAGCAACCGTCTGGGATCAAAAGTAACGCTGGTCAGTGCAGCTAACTTACCAGGCCTCAATACTCTCGGCATCTCCTTGGCAAGACTTGATTTTGCACCCTATGGGCTCAACCCGCCACACACTCATCCACGTGCAACCGAGATCCTAACAGTGCTAGAAGGAACGCTCTACGTCGGATTTGTGACATCAAACCCCGATAACAAACTCTTCACTAAAGTCCTCAAGAAGGGCGATGTGTTTGTGTTCCCTCAAGGACTCATTCACTTTCAGTTTAACACCGGTTACACAAATGCTATCGCGATTGCAGGACTTGGTAGCCAGAACCCAGGTGTGATCACGATAGCTAATGCAGTTTTCGGAGCAAAGCCTCCTATTTCCGATGATGTTCTAGCCAAGGCATTCCAGATTGATAAGAAGTTAGTGGACTGGCTCCAAGCTCAGTTTTGGATGGACAATAACTAGGACGCTTGGCAAATGCTGATGATCTCTATATATTTCCCCTATTGTTGGGTTTCAATAAGCAGCATTTTTGCATGTCGTTGGCAAAAATATCTGTTTTGTACTTTGCTTCCTCTATAATATAAAAGTTTACTTTGTCTTGAGTTACAATAAGGCTCCAATCTAGGCAACTTAAAGCAGAAGGAAAAAAGAAAATGTATTCCCTTGATAACCACTGGAGACTGACTCAAAACACAATTAACTACATTCAGCAGTTAAGGACTACAGTTCGATTATTATTCGATCAGAGGGAAATGGCGACGCATAAAGAAACACATCACTTTAGACACTTCTTTAAGAGAAAGGACACTATCATAGTATATACTTTCTTGTATTCTTTTTGTTCTAAAACACAAAAGAACCACGTGGTTTTGTGAGACGAATGACAACAATCAAGCTGCTTACTTGCTACAACATGAGAAAAGAACCTAAATGCTATTTTTATACATGGTTTAAAGATTACGTATCTCAAGATCTTGCTAGTCACATGAAACATAAAATAAAATCAAAAGCCACAAGCACAGGCAGGAGCTTCTTTGTGCGGGAAAATTTTTGTCATATCGCGATAGTAAATTAATGGTGAGGTTAAGGTCAATACCCTATACACATATAAACCTATGGTTATAGGTTCAATAGAGTTACTATACTCAAGCATGTTTGTTAGTCAAAATGAAAATAAAATAAACCAAAAGCACACAACCATTAGGCGGAGCTTCTTTTGGGGGGGGGGCCGGAGCGAAAAGATAAACTAAAGGTCTATACACACCACAACGTGTATATACAATGCTATGATACATGTGTATATATATAATATATATATATATATATATATATAATCATATATATATATATATATATATATATATACATGCGCTACATACATACCTGATGCGGTACATTACATACATAGATATATACATATGCATATACATGTCGTGTGTGTGTTATTACTACATGTGTAATATATATATATATATATAATCATAATATATATATATCATATATATATATATATATATATATATATATATATAATAACATATAATAAATGGAAAAGGCAATCTTAGGGTGACACCCTAGGCACTCCCACCTAACGACGCGGCCTAGAATTCACATCAATTGCCTTAAAAAAATTTTTTTTCGTGATTCTGCTCCGCTTTAAACTTGAACATCCCCTCACACGTTCTTAAACCCAACACACGATTTTTGGTCGTGAACCCGTGTGATTTTTGACCATTCGTTAACCGCTGCCAAAAACACGACGCGGTGTCACGCCAAAATTGACGCTCAGTTTGCGGTGTACAAGAACGGTCGTAGATCAAGCTTCACGGAGCGCGATCGCAATAAAAAAAAGAAATGATGTTATTTTATGGCGCGCTGTCCTATAGGTTAGAAGCTAGGGGTGTCACCTTAGATTCACTTTCCCTAATAATAATATATAAAATTATACTTATCAATATATATATATATATATATAATATTTTAATTTTTCATATATAATCCTTCTATTTATATACTATATTATATATATATATGTGTGTGTATATATATATATATATTAAAATTACCCTAGAGGGGGGTGAATAGGTTAATATGCTAATCTAATCCGATATTAATGCCAATTAAAAACTTATTAACTAATTTATTCTTGAAAGGGAGATATTCAACAAATTATGAGCAAAAATATATAATTAACACAAGGGTGAAATAGACATGAAACAATATGAACAATATAGCGGGCAAATAACTAATGCAAACACAAGAAAATGATCATGCAGTTCGGTCCTTCCGACCTACGTCTTCGCTCCTCACTCTCAAGGAGAATTCCACTATCTCAACCGGTTTTCAACGCTAACCGAAAACGTTTACACCTCACAATCTCGGTTTTCTAGCTCACCGAAAACTTTCACAACTCACACTCTTGCAATCACACTCTACACCTTCTAAGTGTTGGTCTAGCCAGTGTCGTTTTCCTCAAGTGCTCGGAATTACCACCTCTCTCTAGGCTTTACCACCTACCTCACTCCCCTTAGAATCAACCCCGTCTCTCACCACACACTTCTCTCGGTGTACAAGTGTATTACAAAGTATATCTCACAATTAAGCACAATAACAAATGGTTCGTTCTCTAAACAAGATGAGAATACAATATAAGCTCACTCTCAATGATACACTCACCACAACCCAAATTATACTTAATGTGATAATACTAAAAGCACAATAGGTTGTGTGTACAATCAAAGAGTAAAATGAAATCAAACTCGAATTAATCTAGCAAATATAAATATAACAATTTAAGTATAAACAAGCTAGATAATTGAGTTGAGAAAACTTCTCCAAAATCACAAAGAGATGTAGATGAAGAGATGATGTTGAATTCTTCAAACCGAAAATGTAAGCCTCCTCTTTGTGAAAACTTCTTCACACAAAACAGACTTGAAAAACTTCTTAAACACTTGTAAAACTTGTTTTAAAACTTTCTTAGGTTAACTCAGAAGTTAGAGGGTATGTGGTATATATAGGGACCCCGAGAAACCATCTAAAACCAACAAAAAATACAAAACAACAAAATCTAAAAAATAGTCGTTACTGTGTAACGGTCATATTGACTTATGACAGGTATAAGTCGACTTATGTCTTTATA